GAAGTTTCTCTGCCCCCCTCTTTTGCCAGCTGTGCTGCAGTGACACAGTAGTCTCTGATAGGGCAAGAGGGAGAGAAGGGTAGTTTCACCCATTTCCTCATCATTGCAGCTGCCTGCGTTGTATGGCTTTTTGTCCATGTGAGTTTCCGAAACCTTGACATTGCCTTATCTGTGCTTTCAGAGAGTTATGGGGGACAGTGGGAAAACACCACCTCTGCCAGTGCCTTTTGCTAGTGGTGCATAGGATCCAACCTAAAGATAAAATTCCTCTTGGCTGGAAGGGGAGCGGAGGAAGCAGCTTAGCTAGCCTAGACTGGTGTTATTTGGTGGGGAGGAAAGGTTTTTCACTGAGAGATAAGGGCACAAATCCTGCTCAACTAAATAGTGGGTAAGATTTAGGGTTCCCTAACAAGCTTGAGAAGAATCTGAGGGTGAATGAAGCCTCAGAAAGCCAAGGTTATTCTATTTCCAAGTGAGAGAATTTGCACAGCTACAGCTGGAGAAGTTAAAATTCCCTCTAACACTTGTTGACAGCATCAGTTGGTTGTGGGGCAAGAAGAGCTTTCTGACCAGTCCATGCAGCAGACTCTACCAGAAACCTCTCATCCTCTCATTGCCTTCCTTGGTGAGCCCTAGATCATCACATTTCTCCACCACTCCAGTCCTGATTCTGCAGCAAGCTCTCCTGCCTCTATTCTTAATGGTGCCTGGTAGGCTAGTGCATAGTGTAGCACCTCCTTCTTTTGTTAATGGAAAATAGGGGCATGCAACCCCTTGTGTATATTAGAATTTGATGTTTTATTGGACATTGTTGCAGGGCTGGGATTGCTGTCACTTTTCAGCTTTCTGCACTTCTCCCTGCCTGCCATAGAATTGTGCTTGTACCAAAGATTTTACATTTCCCAAGCACATGTGTGTGTACACGTATGTATACACACACTCACACAGCAGGTGTGATCCTGTCAGGTCTTCTTGCTTTTCAAAACCCTAGTTAATCCATTTGTAACAGCTCTTGTCCAGAAATCTGGTTTGAATGAGCCTGAGATGAATAATTAATGTCAGGCAGTTCAGACGTCAAATATTTGAACAGCTGCTGTGGTGTTTTTGCTGGCTCGGTACAGTGAAGAAATGTGAATGAGTTGAACTGGAAGGGTCAACTAAAACTCTGATCCTACTGGAACTGGCCCTCAAGCCATCCTTATGGTGGGCAAAGGGTCCCATATGGGTAGTTTCAGCTGTGTGGGGCCATTCTTAGATATCTGCAGACACTAGTAAGTCTTCGTTGCAACTTAGAAATTAAAATCTTTTCCTCTCTCAGTCTCACTGCAGCTTAGAGCAGGGATCCGTGACATTCTAAAGCTGAAGGATAGTAACAGCTTATATGTCAAATCTTGCAGTTGGTGCATGAGTTTGTTTTGTTCCACACACTAAGGACTCTAGGCCAACTCTGCCACCCATGGCTCTTCAGCTGTGCACTACTGATGAAGCATAAGAAGCTTTTCTGACTTGAGTGGTGGTCCTTACAAACATCCTTTTCATTCTCTGGCAACGTCAGCTGTTCACTAGAATGTAAGAAAATTAGGCCTGGTGGGTGGTTGCACTAACTTCTCCCAATTCTGTAGAAAAGAAGCCTCCAGTTCTGTGATTAGAGGAAATACAAATTAACACATTTTTTTCTTAATCCACGATATTCTTGCTGCAGATTTTACTTAGAATCTTCATTGACAAGCAACTTGATAAACACAATGGATAGGTATTATCAGAGATACAATGGAAGGATTGGGTAGGGGCAGCCAAGCTAAGGAAACTGGACAATATGAACCAGTCATAGAGTTTTGCCTTACCAGGGCAAAGAGATTCTTGTATTTTTGAGCCAAGTACAAAATTCCACAGAATCTCTTTGACAAAGGCTTATATTTTTTAGATGTTTCTGGAAATGGGGTAAGATTGCCCTGCCTCCTTGCTTTGTTTTCATTTTGTGTGACTGTTGCTATAATAGAGCCTAACTTCTTCATCCTTATCCTTGCTGGTGAGGAAACTGACCCCAGTTTGGTCAGTTGATCTTAGTGTGCCTTGTGAGGGGAGAAGGGAGCACATGAGCCATGTGTCTGTGACTGGAAAGAGCCTAATTAAACTCAGATTTGTTGCAATGCTTCTTTATGGCTTCATTTCAAGATAGAAATGAATATTCTCTGGAAACGTGTTTTGTTTTTTTTAAAGATGAACGATACTTCACAACTCTTGCTTTGAATTTAGTTATAATATAGGTTACTCTGAACTAGACTTCTTGAGTACATGGGGAATGCAGAGGGAAGAGCTCTTTTGCCATTGTAAAGACTTGGATGTGATCTGATGACTTCGTTTGGCATATGGATTGGAATTCAGGTTGCTTAAAAGTGTGCTTCTGTTTTTGTACCTACTATGTTACTGAAGAGAAGCACAGTTTTTCAGTCAATTGATTTTCCCAGCCCCAACTTTTGGCAATCTATTACCAGGTTATATTTCATTTAGATGGCATTTGGATCGCCCAAGGTCAGGTTAGGTAACAGGGCAGTGGGAAGAATGAATCTTCTGTGTCTAATATCTAGGTCTTTGAGAGATGATAAAGTAGTGTGTGATGCAGGTAAGATACTGGTAGAGGCCAATATATGTGTTACTGTGCCTCTACCAATACCAGCCCTTGGTTTTGTCAACTGTGGAGGATATCTCAGTCTTTTAGCAGGTCCTCATCTCTTAACTATTGTAATGTACTGAAAGGGTCATAGACTTGCTAGGTGAACCTTTGCTGAGAGGGTTGAAGATCCATGATATCTGGAAGAAAAATTATCGTTTGATAATACAAGGAATAGTAGACAAATAAGGCAGGGATTGCATTCTAACAATCCATATTACCAAGTTGTGCATTATATTTCAAAAATATCTATTATGGAAGTTTCTGCAGCTATATTGCAGAGTGTGAAACTTAGTTGTTAAGGTTAACTGGCTAGCTTTAGTAGAATGTCAGATTCAAAATTTTCAAGTAAAAATGAAATCAGGCTGTTGCAGAATACAGAAGTTGTTGGTTAACCTCTTAGCCCTTCTAGTTGTAGAGGGCTTGCTAAAGTCTACCTGTCAAATTTGTATTTAGGAATTCATACGTCAGGTTACCCAGTGTGAAAACCATGGCATCTGCTTGTACTTCCCTTGGCACCCAACAAACTTTACAGAAAGTGGGCAGGGCTTGTTTGTAGCTGCCCCTGAGCTTTCCTTAACCAATGTGTAGTTCTGTTCCTCCTTCATGCTTTTCTTCTTCCCAGGAGGTGTGATGAGGGAGGTATTCTGTTTGGTTCCACCTCCTGTGGAAGCAAATTTGAGTTTGGCTCTGCCTCATATGGCAGTCATTTTGAGGTGGTACTCACCACTCCCTCTCAAAATTCCACAAGTGCCCATGGGCTCAAAACACTTGGGGACCCCAATTTATAACATAGGGTTTATCATTTGCTTGTATATTCTGAATTAGAAACTTTTCGCTTTCTTTGAGGCACCTCTGCCATACTGCATCTTGGTCCCCCTTGCTCTCTGCTCATTATAATCAGGTTAATGTGAGATAACAAATCCAATGTGGTTGAAGGTAGGTGGCAAGCAATTCACTTTATGAAAGTTTATGATGGAAGCAGTATCTGGAACTTCATTCCTTCCTGTACATGTAAGCATTCTGCTTCAAGCTTCACATATCAGTTTTGTTTGTAGTCCATAAAAGCATGTACTGAACCTGTGTTTCTCATTCAAACATATCTACACTTGGAGTACAGGGAATTCTCTCTCAACATACAGTTTTGAGATGTTGTTTAATGATCTACCTGTATTTTAATTGTATGTTTAGCTTTGCTTTGCTTATCTCAGATACCTTGTTACTTCACAAAGTCATTGGATTGGATCAAGCAGTCATTTCTGCTGATGGAAGGCATTGTCAACAGAACAAGTCTTTCTCACTTTCCCTGTCCTGTTGTAGCCTGAAATGCTGCTCTGACCCTAAGAAACAGCATGAGGGGGCAAATTTGGGTCTGCACTGGGAGGGGGAACTGGCAAAAGTCCTTCCTTCATTAGCCAGAATCTACAACTAGATCCAACCCTTTACCTGAAGTGCTAGTCCCAGTTCAGTTTCTGTCTTGTAGATTTCTCATTCCTCATACTGTCATTCCTTACTGTCGTACCCCTCCCCAACCCAGATCTTCTACAGTTGAGAAGTGATAAGAATTCTATAAGCCTGTTCTTCATAAAACATAGTCCTAAATTTTGATTTATCTGTTCTATATGTAGGAAATTCTAAAGAATTTCTGCTGTTACATTACATACAACAAAGCTATGGAAATGTGGATCAAACCCTAGTTAAAATGAGTATGGATGAATATGAACCTGAATGAATATGTACAAATGATATTATGGACAGAACCGTGATTTAGTTTTAGAGCATCTAGTTGGCCTGCAGAAGGTCCCAGGTTCAATCCCCAGCACCTCCAGTTAAAGCATCAGGGAGTAGGTGATGTGAAAGATCTCCACTGGAGATCCTGGAGAGTGCCAGGCAGAGTCAACAGTACTGACCTTTAAGAAGAAGAGTTGGATTTATACCCCACCCTTCACTCTTGAGTCTCAGAGCAGTTTACAGTCTCCTTTCCTTCCTCTTCCCACAGCAGACACCCTGTGAGGTAGATGAGACTGTGAGAGCTCTGAGAACTGCTGTTGAGAAAAGAGCTCTGAGAGAACTGTGACTGACGCAAACCCACCCAGCTGGCTTCATGCGGAGGAGTGAGGAATCAAACCCCATTCTCCAAATTAGAATCCACCGCTCTTAACCATTACACCAAACTGGTGGTCTGATTCAGCATAAGGCAGTCTCATATTTATTCTTTCTGCTATGCCATCGTTTCCCCCCAGAGTTTTGTGTTGCTGTTCCTCGTAGACTCTATGTTCCTATATTTGGAGTTCCTTGTGATATGTGCTTCATGCATTTTCTTTTTTAGGATCTGGGTTCGTCATGTGCAGTGGCAAGGAGAATCCAGACAGTGATGCTGACCTTGATGTGGATGGAGATGACACACTGGAATACGGGAAACCACAGTATCATTTTTATGTGTTCTGAACTCCCACCAAACTTTTGCAGCTCCTCCAATGCATGCCCAAATTTTCTTTGAATCAGAAGGAGGTCTTAACTGGTCATAGGTATTCTAAAAGTTTTCAGTTTGTAGTATTTTGCATGTAATTGTGTAAGTTGAAGTCTCTATACACTGTTTTTCAAATGGTAGCATTCACATGCTGATGCCGAGGGAGAGGCAAGTTCCCTTTGTACTGTTTTTGAAATGGCATCCTTATTAAACATCTGGTTGCTTTCAGACATGTGTTTTGACGTTCCAAGGAACTTTTAAAATGCAGCTTTCAGTACCTTAACAGACAATAGAAAATAATTCCATGGTGTAGTTACAGTTTCACGCTGTGTTGGCACCATATCCTATCACCATATCCCAAGCACGTAGGCAAGAGTGACCTGGTAGACATTATATACTTGGACTTTCCGAAGGCTTTTGACAGGGTACTTCACCAAAGACTCCTGAGTAAACTTAATAGTCATGGGATAAGAGGATAGGTTCTCTTATGGATTAAAAATTGGTTAAATAGTAGGAATCAATGGGCAGTTCTCACAATGGAGGAAAGTAAGCAGCGGAATCCCACAAGGATCCGTATTGGGGCCGGTACTCTTTAATTTATTCATCAGTGATCTGGAACTAGGGGTGAGAAGTGTAGTGGCCAAGTCTGCAGATGACACAAACTTATTCAGGATGATGAAAATGAAGACTGTGAAGAGCTTCAAGAGTATCTCCACAAACTGGGTGAGTGGGTGGCAATGTGGCAAATGAAATTCAGTGTTGGTAATTGTTAAAGTGATGCACACTGGGACAAAAAATCCCAACTTCAGCTATTGGCTTTTGGGGTCGGAACTTGCTGAGACTGAGTTGGGAAAAGATCTTGGGGTCATAGTAGATAGCTCAATGAAAGTGTCAACCCAGTGTGCTACATCAGTGAAAAAGGCAAACTCTATGTTAGGTATTATTAGGAAAGGGATTGAACACAAAACAGCTGATATTATAATGCCCCTGTAGAGATCTATGGTGCAGCCTCATTTGGAGTATTGTGTACAGTTCTGGTCACCCTATCTCAAAAAAGACTTCTCAGAGCTGGAAAAAGGACAGAGGAGGTCAACTAAGATTATTAGGGGGTTGGAGCACCTTCCGTGTGAGGAAAGGCTGAAGAGTGTGAGACATTTCAGTTTAGAAAAGAGATGACTAAGGGGGGGGACATGATAGAGGTTTATAAAGTTATGCATGGAGTGGAGAGAGCTGACAAAGAGAAATTTTTCTCCCTCTCCCAAAATACTAGCACTTGAGGGCATCCAATGAAGCTGATGGGCAGTAGATTGAAGATGGACAAAAGGAAATACTTTACACAGAGAGTGATTAAAATGTGGAATTCACTGTTGGAGGATGTAGTGATGGCCACAGGAACCAACAGCTTAAAAGGGGATTTGATAGATTAATGGAGAGATAAGTCTATCAGTGGCTACTAGCCATGGTGACTGAGGCTCACGTTTGGAGCCAGTCAACCTCTGAATCCCAGAGCCAGGAGACAATATGAGGGGAAGGTCCTGGCCCCACTAGTGGACCTCCTGATGGCACCTGGTATTTTTGGCCACTGTGTGACAGTGTTGTACTGGATCCAACATTGGCTTCTCTTACGTTGTTATGTTCTTAAGGTCTCAACCTCTATGCCCTGTTGTTAGCCCTTCAGAGGAACTGGTTGGCCAGTTTATGAGACAGGTTGATCCAGCAGGGCTCTTCTTATGTTCTTATCTCTTCAAGGATGTCTCGGCTACTCTGCCCTAATGGCTTAGAATAAACACTGACTTGTTCCAAAGCTTGCACCATGTTATGTTCTTCTTAACCGTCTGTGCTTAGATACACAGAAGCAGATATCATTCCATGTACTGGGGAAGAACCAGGGGAAGCTAAAGAGAGAGAGGCACTTCGAGGTGCTGTCTTAAAGTAAGTGTGGTTTTTTAAAAGTGTCCAGGGGCATGGAGAGGATATGCTTCACTGTGCTTGTTGGGGGGGGGGTTCATGGCAGGTATTTGCTTGGCTCAGTGCAACACACAACAGAGGCTCCGGTCACACGGGCCGAATATCGCAGGGGAGAGGCATAGCTAATTGCCCTGGAGGAAACTAACGCGCGGCCGCCCAAGCACACGTCCCGGTCGAGGTCCCGTGGTTAGGGGGGAGATGCCGACCAGATGGGTATCCTGCAGAGCCTCGCGGTGCAATCGCACTAGCAATCGCTCTTTGTGCACATGCGCTATTGGGCACTGTTGCGCAACCTGCTGAGACGGGCGCCGGATGCCACGTAAGTCCACCGGAAACGCAATCAGACACCCGCCCTTGGCCCGCGGTTTCCAGAAACTAGTACCTCGTAAGTACTAGTTTTTTAATCCGCACCTTCGGCGGGGAGCCACAGGTTCGCCACAGGAGCACTGCGCTTCCCAGATGTTGGGGTGAGATCACGCCCGGAAAATCCATGGGACTCCCATGCCTCTCCCGCAGCAACTTTGGCGTGTGACCGGGGCCAGAGTAGGTCAAAGAGAACTTGGGAAAAATCATATGCCAACAACGGTTATCTGCAAGGCAGGAAGCAGTAAAATACCCAAGCTACATTTACACCAAAGGCAACCTTATTGTACTACTTTACCTGTTAGCAGTTTTAACCCCCATACTTACTTTGAGCTCTGCAGCTAACTAAAATTACATATAGAAACTTCTGCACTAGGGGAAAGATTCTCAAAGTTCTGTCATAAGGTACAAAAATTAGGTTGATTTATATAACAGTGCTTAATTTACTGATGCAAAATCTGGGTTTTGTGAAACAGTTTTGGCAGGAGCTGAACAATGTGTAAGAGGTAATGGGAAGCAGATGTCTCTCCTCTTGTAGATAAGCAGAGGACAAGAATTGGGAGTACTGGAGATTAAGCACACTTATATCCCATTGAGGTCAGAACAGCAAGTACAATATTTAAGGGCTTGTCTCATTGATTTCAATAGGACTGAAGTATCCTTAGCTTCCTCTGTGTTATGCTCTGAGTGGTGCACTGAGTGCAGAGGTTAGTTTTCTGAACACTTGAAGCCCAACACAAAGCTCCCTTTAGTTTCTTCTTTTTTATTAGATATTTCCATGCTTTCAGTCACCTCTGCATTCATTAGAACTGGAAATAAGGTCTTCTAACATAAAATTAAGTACTGAAATTTTCAGGAGTATGTACATGCCCATATCCTGTGTTTTGAATGGTTATCTCTGAGGCAAAAGTACAGGCATACAGATTTCTATACCTCTTCTAAATGAGATCTGAGTATCAGCAGCTGGGTGTCTGAGTTTCATCTCTTGCCCATAGATATTTATTTATAACAATTTCTTAGGTGCCTTTTCAATTGCTTGGTCCTAAAGAAACCCAGTCTTCTGAAGAGCTGTTGTAAAAAAACCTCCTAAAAATGCAGCAAACAAACAAACAAAAAAGCAAGCATAGCCTGCCCCCTAAAAAAACACTAGCAGAATCATTTTCACATAAAAACTTTTTAACCTGTGGGATAAACTGTACAATGGAGAATGCGACTCTGTCTAGAACTGGCAATGCTCCCAACACCCTGCAGTCTCAGGTGTGCAACTTCTGAATACTTCTTATCTTTGTGGGATTGATTTAGCTTGGATTTGTTAACCATCATCCAGCCTTTGAATATATTTAACCCCCCAAATAGGACTGGCTATCAGCATGATGCGGTAGAACATGCCATCCAGTTGCAGCTGACTTATATAGGGTTTTCAGTGCAAGGTGGTTTGCCATTGCCTGCCTCTGTGTTGTCCCCCTGAACTGCCCTGGTGCTCTCCTATCCAAATACTAGCCAGGGCCAACCCTGCTTCGCTTTTGAAATCTGACAAGATCAGGCTAGCCTGGGCTATCCAGGTCAGGGCATCAGCATGATACCCCAACCCCACTCCAAACAATCAAACCCTTCAGTTGCATATAAATATTAAACATTATTTGGGCCAAGATGGAACATTCAGTTCCCCTAGAGAACAACTCACATTGCAGCAGTTGCCCAACCGTAACTGTTCACTGGTCTGTCAGGGAGGATTTTGCCAAATAACGGTGGCCGTATCCTTAACCCACTGGCCCAGTAGGATGGATGATCAACTGTGCCAGGCAACTGCTGAGGAGGTCTGAAAGCACTAATGAAGTCAGATTTCCACTGTCAAGATCCAGACAACAAATATCTGGTAGGGTTTCTAAAGTTGTGTTCCAAACCCTGTCCTTAACTCTAGTTGATAAAGGTCTAAAAACACTGGTTTATGCAAGAATCTCTGGAACTGCTTAGTTTCTGCCTGCTGGATCTTAGGCTTTTTAAAAATAGAGTATATTGCATTCATCTCCAAGGTGGCTGGCATCTCTTTCAGCAGTAAGGTATTGATGATTATTACAGGAAAGGCCCAGTTATTTCCAACAAGCCATCATCAGCCAACAAAAGCAAGGTTAGAGTGGGCATATGGTTGGATACACTTTCTCAAAGGTCTTACCCACTTTCTTGAGTAATAATAATTGAAACATCCCCCCCTCCCTTTTTTTTTTTTTTAAAGAAATGCTTTACAAAATCAGCATAGCTGGTAGCTGAGAATTCTTCATAATTAACTTTGGGCATGAAAAGGACGCTTTTTGTGGGGGTGGAGGAGAAAGTTCTTCATCGCCCAGAACAGTTCTGCAACATAGTACTCTACCAGCACAATGGTGGCAAAGGAGGATACTCTTTGTTGATATCATTGCCACAGAACAAGTCATAAAATGGGGCTGTAAATTGTGTCCCATTGAGTTCCTACTGAATTTTCAGCTACTGGCTCTTTAGCTTGCTTCCCAACAGTTTCATTACCCAGATTGCCTTATTTGAATCACAGGAAGGCTTAACTCCACTGCTGGGTAACAGTGTACCAAGGAAAATTTTGTTTCAGGGGCCAGTTGTGCATATGAACTATGACTCGTCAGGCTAACAACACTTGGTGGCAGGAACAGTTTAATCCCCTAGTACATTTTGGAATCCAGTACCATACAGAAGTCTTCAGGGGTGGACACTTTAACAAGCTGTGGTTCTTCTGCACTGGTTTTGGTATTCTAGGTTGCTGTAAGCTGACAACTGTAGTTCTTTATAAGCTTCACTGCAGAAAACTGTAGGAAGCGCTTCAGGCAAATAACCAAATGGGTGTTAACAGAGAGGCAAAAAATGAATTGGTTTTTCAAGCCCTCTGCCCTGCAGGGAAACAGCACTTACGTTGCCCTACTCTCTTAGGCAGAGTGAGCCTTGGAGGTTAAGGTTGAAACAATTGATAGAGCAGTGAAATGAAGTTTTCCTACTGCTTAGCTTGTTGCAAAGAATGGCCTGAAATCAGGGTTCACATCATAAAAATGCTTATCTGCCTGGATCAGATGACATCCCTTCAGTAATTTAAACCAACAGTGACTAATACTGAATGTTTCAGAGGAAAGTAGAAGCTCAGGTTTTTTGGAACTCTGCTAGTGCTCCATTCATAGAGCCCAGAATGGGTAACAGCAGTTTAAACATAATAAAAGCAGGTATTGAAAAATAAAGTAACGTAAAACAAGTGAAATTACCCCTAGACATCAAGAACCTGTACACGTGGAAGGAAGTTCCATAGTTATTGAGAACATCCATCCAAATGCAGATTGTTCTTTGAATAATCAGGGGTGCCATAGCACTGATTTTAAAGTTTGTGATAAAACTTAATGGAAAGGGTTTCGAGATGTGTAAAGCTCAATTTTAATTTAATCTTTCAAAGGCTCAGAATAACATACAGCATTTTTTCCAAATGCAAACCCCTCTGTTCACAGGGGACTCATACTCAACTGATAATTGGGGGAGGGGAGTAAAAAAACTGAGTGTAATGAATACCGTAATCTGGAGGCACCAAATCTATTTTACAAAGGGAAAAAGACAAATATTCATACCATGCTGTGCACAACTTGTTCCAACATCCATCAAAGAACAATACTCTTTGCAGGCAGTTCCATGCTAAATGGCTATTTGTTAAAGAGGTGCTGTAGAGTAAGATGTAATGGGTGGGGAGAAGATTTACAGTCCCTGGTGTGGTGGTATCTCTAGAGCCCAACACAGAAATTAGGTATATCATTATTGCCAGATCTTGTAAGTAGGTATAGGTCATTCCAGTAGTGTCATGACTGTTTGGGGTCTTGAACATAGGTATCCTTTGATTTAGTCCAACATTCCAACTACTGTACCACACATGGCTCTCTATAGATTTATCGAACTAGCACCTTGAGTTGTCTTCAGAAGGTAATGAGGAATGATTGGTACAGAAGTTGGTATAAACTGCTCTCAACAGCCTGCCTTCCACTGGTAGCATTTTGCCCTAACTAGATCATAGCATTAGTGCTTTGCTTGACTTCTTTCTGTTTCATATGATAACCAGTGAGACCAGGAACCTATACCAACAAAATGTTGCAAGAGGAGATATGATAACTGCTGTGTCTCTGCGGTTCTACACATCAGCCAGACTAGTAACACAGAAGTCATGAGGGGTACCTCACATATTCTCAAATACATTTTTGTTGGGTCTTAGGCTACTTTATTTGTACCTGGGTGGGTGGGCAGGCAAAGACAAGCCATTAAGCAGGTAGAATAATGATAAATGCTGGTATAAAGGACAGAGCATAACAATAAGGTCAAGATTAGATGTAAATCAGGCAAAGCATTTAGCTAGGGGAGCAACTAGAACTTGGCTAGATCAGTGAAAAGCAATAAGTTGTTTTGTGAGGGAGGAGGGACCAAGTCGGCCCTTGAAAAAGATAATGCTGTTAGCTAACCTGACTAATCCTTGTGGGATGGTAAGAGACTGATGTCTCATGCACTCATATAACAAAAGAACACTTTATTCCTGAAGCCAGTTGAAGTATGCCTGCAATGTTCTAGAAAGCTGTTTGCGCCCTCTTTATAAAAGTAATAACATGTTGTAAGTCATTCAGCAGTGATTGACCTGTAACATTTGTGCATATAGAGTAATTATTTACATAGAATGTTACTATTTTTTTGTCCTGAAGCTTTAACTGTTCTCTGTTGTTTTTTTATTATAATTGTTCATTCACAGTATTGGGATTTAGTTTGCTACTACAGCAGTCTTAAGTACTTAAATGGTCCAGTGGCATTAGCCCACACATTGAGTTTCTTGGAGGAAGGGTGGGATAAAATTGTGATAAATATATGATTGGGCAGTGTTCTGGGTTTTTTCTTCTTCAGAAGACACATAAACAAGTGTATCCATGTGATACACTTCTTGTTCTTAGACAAATCCTAATGTGGTCCAGGAAGTTTTTTTCTTTATTTTGTTCAAGTCCTACATAAGACCACAGTTAGATCTGGATCTGGAATTAGTCCTACCTTTGCCATAAACTCATTATTTGGCCTTTAGTGAAATGGGTATAATAGTGACGAACTTAACACACTTGTGAGGATTGGCACGAAGATTGTAAAGTGCTTGAGATTTTTTAAATGCTATGTACTTAATAAATATTATTAATTATTTATAAATAAATATAGCTTCAAGAGAGGATTGGATAAACTTATGGAGCAGAGGTCCATCAAATGCTATTAGCAGCAAGGTATAGATGGAACATTATGTCTAGGGAAGTGATGCTCTGTATTCTTGGTGCTTGGGGAGCAACAGTGGGAGGGTTTCTGGAGTTCTGACCCAGCTGGTGGACTTCCCCTGGCAGCACTTGGATTTTGGCCACTGTGTGACACAGAGTGTTGGATTGGATGAGCCCATTGGCCTGATCCAACATGGCTTCTCTTATGATCTTATTCGTAATGGTGGATGAAAATGTATGCTGTAGAGTTTTTTCCTGTGATTCATTTTTACTTTTTTTTTTTTTCTTTCCAGTGGTGGCACACCTAGTACCCGAATAACACCAGAATTCTCTAAGTGGGCAAGTGATGGTGAGTGTAAGCTACCTATATGTAGCTGGCTTGAATGTTGGCAAAGGCTTGGCAATACTTGCATTATTATAAATTTTGGTGTGTGTGTGAACATACAGACTTCCTGGAACATACACAACACCTGGAATTCTAAGTAGCGTAATCAACTGCGCTTTCTGTTGTTGAGGCTTTGATGGGAAAATCCTCCTGGCAGGCTATTTGTGTTCCTGGAAACAGGTACTGTCTTTGTTGCCCAGTAGAAAATCTGAACCAACTAAAACTCTGGAATCAGGAAAATTAAAGTGTGATTTTCTGGTTTACATTCCTGTTGCTAACCTGCTGTATCTCATTCTTCTTGGGTTGGATGATGACATGGGGAACATGGTGCCTGTCTGTTATCAGGATTCATTTCAAGATTACTGAACATCCTAGAGCATTTTTCTACATATATACAATATAAGACCTGTTTTTGAAATGTATGCTGGTGTCACTATTCTGTTACATAACATAAGGAATCCAGGACAGTGTATATTAGGGGAGCTTCATGATCTCCCCAATCCATACTGAATACCATAGCCATCATGCTATATATGTTCCCCACTGGTGCATTTGTAAGCATTCTGAGTGACATTTGCATACAGTGTAAGATGCTGGAGGCAGTGTGCATGCTAGTAAAACGTAATAAAGGGAAGTGCCCGTGTTGGTCTGAGGAACACTTTCAAAGGCAAACCAGGCAGAGCAAGCAGTTGGGAGAAATATTCTGAAGTGGAGTGGAGAATAAATTCAACAGATGCCATCATTTGATTGGTTCTTGGTGTGTGATACAACATCTTTATGGTAGGGGAGAGTAAAGTATCATTAAGGCAGCTGGGTTGGGAGTAGGGGAAGGTTCTGTGGGAGAAAAATTCACTTTCAGGAAATAGTTTATCTTGTAATAATTTATCTTGATTTCAGTAAGGCTTTTGATAAGCCTTCCACATAATATTCTTGTTGGCATGTTGGTAAAATGTGGTTTGGATCCTATGACTGTTGGGTGGATCTGTAACTAGTTGACAGATTGCACCCAAGAAGTGCTTGTGAAAGGTTCCTCATCCTCTTGGAAAGGCGTGACAAGCGGTGCCTCAGGGATCTGTCCTGGGACCTGTTCTGTTCAACATCTTTATAAATGATTTAGATGAAGGAATAGAGGGAATGTTTATTAAATTTGCAGATGATACTAAATCGGGAGGGGTAGCAAATATGGTAGAATACAGAGTCGGGATACAGGGTGATCTTGACAGGCTGGAAAACTGGGCAAAACAGATGAAATGAATTTCAACGGGGATAAACATAAAGTTCTGCATTTAGGTAGGAAGAATCAAATGCATAATTATAGGATGGGGGAGACTTGTCTTGTCAGAAAAGGATCTTAGGGGTCTTAGTAGACCATACACCGAACATGAGTCAACAGTGTGATGCATTAGCTAAAATGGCAAATGCTTTTTTGGACTGTATCAACAGAAGTATAGTGTCTAGATCACGCAAAGTGATGGTATCCCTTTACTCTGCTCCAGTTAGACCTCACCTAGAGTGTCGTGTTCCGTTTGGGGTACCACAATTTAAGAAGGATATAGACAAGCTGGAACATGTCCAGAGGAGGGCAACGAAGATGGTGAGGGGTATGGAGATCAAGTCCTATGAGGAATGGTTGAAGGAGCTGGGTATGTTTAGCCTGGAGAGGAGACGACTGAGAGATGATACAATAACCATCCTCAAGTACTTGAAGGGCTGTCATACAGAGGATGGTACAGAGTTGTTTTCTGTTGCCCCAGAAGCTCAGACCAGAACCAACAGGTTGAAATTAAATCAGAAGAGTTTTTGGCTAAACATCAGGAAGAACTTCCTGACAGAGCGAACCTCAGTGGAACAGGCTTCCTCGGGAGGTGGTGGGCTCTCCTTCTTTGGAGGTTTTCAAACAGGCTAGATGGCCATCTGACAACAATGCTGATTCTGTGAACTTAGGCAGATCATGAGATGGAGGGCAGGAAGAGTTGTATCGGTGCTTAGTTCTCATGGCCGTTTCTTACATGCCCAGAGAAATGCTGATCACCACTTTGGGGTCAGGAAGCAAGTTTTATCCAGGCCAGTCTGGCTGGAGATCTTGTCATCTTCTGGGCTTGGAACAGTGGTCTGTGGGGGGTAGGTATTTGTGAATTTCCTGCATTGTGCAGGGGGTTGGAGTAGATGACCCTGGAGGTCCCTTCCAACTCTATGATTCTATTATTCTAAGCCCTTAGAATTGCTAGTGCTGTTTCCTGATGCCACTTTTCAGATGATTGCAGAATGTCGTATGGGAAAACAAAACCAGTTTCTGTTGTAAAGCTACAGAAATGGGCCTGACTCTGCAGGTGATCTCTGTGAATGGATAAATGTATCTTAATTTGTAGTTTACACAGGATTGTTAAGGGGGAAAACTTGTTCATACCAAAACTATTTGCCGAATTGTTCTGCAGTAATTACTTTCAGGAACCATTCTATTCTAGTAATTCGTCTTTGGGTCTGACAAGTTTGAAAAAAGCCAGTAAGAACTACTGCTCCAATAGCAGGTGCTCAGATAGCAGCAATACATAGGATGAAGGCATCCACAACCAATTACGTGCCTTTGAGTGGTCCATGGCTTTCATCACTTCCACAAGTTTTGTGCAATGCATTTTGCTGGTCTGCAGCATTGATATTCTAATATATGCACAATGCACTCTAATATAGCAATACCAGTCAAGGTGATACTCCTTGATACAAGGTGATACTGTGTTTTATGTATTATTAGAATTCTTATTCTGTTCTGTAAGCCGCCCTGAGCTGGCCTAGGCCAGGAGGGCGGGATAACAAATTAAATCAATCAGTTAAATCAATCAATCCTTTAAATTGGGAGGAACTAGCATATTCTTTGTACAATTCCTTGAATTGGAAACCAATTCAGGAAAAGTTCACCAATCCTGTGGCTTCTGTAGGACCTCACTTTAATTAAGTGTTCCCCTGAACTGACCTGGGCCCTTTTCCCCTTCACAGAAATGCCATCAACGAGTAATGGGGAGAGCAGTAAACAGGAGCCCATGCAAAAGACCTGCAAGAACAGCGACATAGAAAAGTAAGTATGCCTTGGGCATTGCTGCCTTGGCTATGGCACAAGCCTTCTAATAGAGTTATTAGCCATGATGCAGCAGGTCACATGCTGTGGTGTTTGCTGCATTTCTCAAGCTTTTGCCCTAGGCTCTCCACTACTTCTTGGGTAGCTCAAAATCAAACAGGTGTCTCATATTTCTACAGTTGAGGTACAATCTCTATTCATCTGTTGTAGAAGTTCCTCATCAGTGGAAGGGGGGGGATGCCTCTTTAGTATGTTGATCTAAAAAAAGTGGAGTGAACTCATGTTTCATTGCCAACTCCCCCATCCAGTTTTTGAAGCTTTAAAAAGGATGGTGGAAAGTTCTCTCCTCGTGTTAGTCAGTGCTTCAAAGCACTGCCCCCCCATATGTTATTTTTTTAGCAGCCTCACTTTACATGCCATCCTTCAGGAAGAGAGTGGGATTATTAAAACCTTTCTTTCCATTGGGAATGAATTGCAGGGGACAGCATCTTCATTTGGCTTCACCAAAGTCCAGAGACAAATCAGCATCAAAGTGCGGAGTCCAGAGTGATACATGACTCTTGCAGACTTGTTGTCTTGCAGTCAAGCAGTGCTGTGTGCAGTGACATCCCAGGATATTTGTGTCTGTATGTGTTGTAGATAGATTTGAAATCTTCGGAACACAACTAACCTGAGAATCAATCGATACAGTCACTGGCTGGAAATATAGTATGAACAAAGTGGTGTGTTGAGGCTTTGGATATATTATATAATACAACCTGGGCTGCAACAAAAAAAGGGGGAGGGAAGATGTTTGATGTGGTGGGGAAAGCCCCTCTGTCTGCAAATCACACCAGCCTTCAGATGAAGCACAGGAAGTCTTGTGAAATAATATAGTATTTTCAAAGGGACACTTGCCATTGTCTGTATGTTGTAGGTGCAAGAAAAAAAGTTAAAGCTAAGCAAGCCATTATTTTCGCACCCAGCATTTATCTTAGCAGTTACGTTTGACAACACTTCATATGCTCCAAACTGTAGACAAGACAAAATGCCAAATATCGTCATCCCCTTACCCTGGTTTACTAAATGTTCAGTCTGGTTAAGAATTCTGGGGTACTCAAATGCTTGCTTGCTAATTTCTGAAATTTTATAATAAAATATATTTATTTTTAATTTTTATCTCACATGCTCAGTTTAGAAATTGTTTCATTTTACACACTGAACTTGTTTCTGTTCCATCACTACATACCTGTATGTTTCATTCACTGCTCAGAAAGCTACAAATGCTGCCTTCCATGTAGGGGGCAGGACAATTCAGTCATTTTCAGTAATATAGGTTGGTTACACTCCAGTTGTCTTCCAGTTCTCCAAAACAGAAACTCTTTAACATGAGAAAGCTGAGAAGCTTTGACACCTTCTACAACTTTTGTGTCCAGATGATGAATCGACATCACCCCCTTGATCAGATTATTAAAAAGCTTTATTCAGTGCATCTCTGCAGAACTCAAACTCTTTCCAGGTGGTGCTTATGGTAATGAAATATGGCATTGTTCCTTCTTTTTGACAGCTCCTGACGCATCATGGGACATTTAAACTCTAGTTTATTTTCAAATTCAAAAACTATGCTTGGCCACTGAACTGCTGCTACATTTGAAAAAAATAACCTTCTAAATATCTGTTCTTGCATTTAACAGCATTTCCTTCTTAGTTCCTAAGAAGTCCCTTGTGGAGAAGGGGTTAGTGCCTTTTAGCTAAAGGTTCGTAACTTCTGAGGAGAGTAGAAAGCAGACTGTTTAGAAATAAAGGTTCCTGCTGCTTTCTCCCCACTCCTCAGGGATTTGTGTGTGATAAATAGTTTGTGTCGTGATGGTTAAGGAGCTAGGAAGCTGTGTGTGAAGGGGAGGGCTCTGTTAAATTAATTGATAACCGGGATCAGACCTCAGGGCCCACAGAAAGGAAGGTGTTCTTTTATTTCTACTGTCTGGCTGCTTCCACTTGTACTGCCAAGCCATGATATATGGTGACCCAGCCCAGCTACCTAAATTGATTCATCTCCAGTTCCTGGTTCTTAATCTGGAGCTAAATTGGTTTCATTTTTCTTGTTTTGGGTGGTGCTTGTGGCAAGCTCTCTGTGGGATCACTTTCTTCTGTTCATAACTTTAATTTTTGCTTTTAAATCTGGGTATTATTGATTGGTGTGTTAAGCTCCATGTAATGTCTGATTAGCATTTTAAAAAGTGTTTAGAAGCACATGGTTTATCACCTGTGTCAGCTGGGCTGTTCATTTAGAACAATGGTTAATGGAGTTAGCAGTGATTCTCTTTATTGATTCTACTTTTATAAGAATGACATTCATTTTCTTTCCCCTTTCCAAAACAAAATCTAGGCATGGAGAGTATCTTTTTAATTAGCTAATACAATACAGTAAACTGTCCTTGTTTTGGTGCACAGCTAATGTACTTGGGCTGAAAGTTAATGGAATGTGTGTGTTGCACTTCTTGTAGATGGATCTCTTGCATGCCAAGAGACTTAGCCATCTTAGAGGAAATGTGCTGGTTGCTCCTCTTTTTTGCCGTCTTTCCTGTCTCAGATCAGTCACACACACCCTCTCTCTCTGTGTGTGTGTATTTGAACTTCATTTTATAAACTGTCACAGTAATAAGACAGGTAACATTTAAGATCTCTTATTTACCCTTTACTGCACACAAGGAATTCCATAATGTCTTCCAGAATCTGCTTTTAGATTAAAAGTTGTGAGGAAAACAATGCTTAAATCCAGTGGCTATGCTTACTGAAGGAGGCTGCATCTTTCTTTCCATAAAATACTTTTGTGCCACTTTTAACTGAAGAAGCTTTATCAAGCAGTTTACAAAAAGTAAAACTATAGCCATAATATATAACTTAAAAATCAACCCCATTCTCCCCCCAAAAAAGAACCAGCATAAGCACAGAAAAATATAAAATAATCATGATCGCCAAAAGCAAGATCGAGTGAAGATTTTTACATGATCTCCAGAGGATTAACAGGAAGGGAGCCAAATAAATCTTCCAGGTTAGAGATTTAAAAAAAAAACTATGCAATACTTATTTTCCTGTCAAATCTATACTAATTTTAGTTATTTAACAACATAAAATGCTTACTATATGAAATTGTACTATTTGGCATATATATGAAATCTAGAAGAAAATCTTTGCAGTTAGAGGCTAATGTTTTTATCATATTTCATCAGTGGCTTGCTGACTGACAGAATAGTTTCTGTAGAAAAGAGCAAGAGTCCAGTAGCACCTGAAAGAACTTTTGTGAGTCACTGCTCACATCTAGATACTTTAACTGAAGTGAGCAGTGACTCACGAAAGCTCATACCCTGCCACAAATTAGTCTTTAAGGTGCTACTGGACTCTTGCTCTTTTCAACTGTTACAGACAGACTAACACAGTTACCCATCTTGATCTAAGAATAGTTTCTATCATATTTATTATTATTAATTATCCACCTTCAATCCCAGTGAGAAAGGCATACTATAAATGAAGATAATATTGATGATGGTGTTGATGACAATACATAGTAACTGTCATCAAATTATGTTGATTGTCTTATATAAAAATTTCCGTGCTATGCATTTAAAGTAAAACCTTGTCCAAAAAAGCATTTCGCTCATTCAAAAAAAATAAAATCCCTAGGGATTTTTTTTCAGTGTTCCACCAAATTTACCAGTTTTTCCATTGGAAATTTTTTAAACAGTCTTTGAGGGGGAAATTGTTTTTCCAAATTTTTCCAGTTTTATTCCAAACCTTCACATCTCTGCTCCCAAGAGAGGATGTTCATACATAAGAACATAAGAACATAAGAGACGCCAATGTTGGATATTCCTGCTTCCCTGTGAGATGCACTGTGAGGTGGGACATCTTAGATCTTAAACACTGGAGAGGATTATTTGGGAGGCAGTGTTGCCAATAAAAATGCTGAGGTTTTAAAATGCAGTTTAGGATTTAGATTGCATTGAGACTAAGTGCTACTAAGGTATATTTAAAAGGTCTCTGTAACTGCTTTAGTATGTTTTCAGGAGAATAATGGGGCTGGAAAGAGTTATTGGGCTGCACCCCTATGCAGCTTTCGCTGGGCTGAAAACAGTGATCTGATTTTCAGAATCTCAGACCTACCTATTATTAACCCCATTTTGCCACCCACATGGGATCCAGTTTTTCATTATACAACTTTTTACCTTTGCCATATCTACTTGACTTATATGGTGTGGTGAAATACCATCTCCCAGGGTTTGGGTGAACTCTGTGAATATTGGGTTATACCAACCTTACAGACATTCTTGTCAAAAGAAAAAGCGACCCTATCCCATGCTTCTCAGTTACTTCTAAATACCAAGTAGCAGAGTTTGGTGCAGTTGCCAGTGAATGCAACCCAGTGTGACAAAGGAGAGCCAGGATAGGTGTGGCCTGTAAGCAACAGGGCTGTCCTGAGTCTAAGAACTTAACTATAATTTTCTAGTCTCTTGCCTTCTCTGGTGCATTTATTGTGGATTGTGGAAATAAGCGATCAGTCTCTGATTTCGGTATATCTATTTCATTTGCTATGTTTCCCCCCATAATTAAACCCAAGCCAATGGTGATCTCTTTTCTTCCAAAAAACTCTTCCAGCCTTTCTTGGTGTGTGTATGTCTTTCGACAACAGCCTCCACTATTACCTATTCTTCCATGTTGTCATAGTATTGACAAAAACTGAGAAGCTACTAGTGGGAGAGGAAGGTCTGACCAGGAACTGGGTCATCTCCTTTTCTGAATGGGGTCACACTCTCCCTAAAGGAACAAGTTTATGGCTTGAAGGTGCTGCTGGACCCAGACCTCCTGTTGGATAAACAGGTGGCAGCAGTGGCCAGGGGGGCCTTTCTCCAGGTGACCCTTCCTGGGCAAGAAAGATCTTGCCACTGTGGTGCATGCACCTGGTATTTTTGGCCACTGTGTGACAGAGTGTTGGACTGGATGAGCCATTGGCCTGATCCACCATT